ACCCATCGTCTCAGGAAAACTGAGAGGAAACTGAAACTCCATGCCTTTTTTTCTAAACGGGTTCTTATTATTCAAATACTCCACTTGACGAGAATGAAAGGTTGGATCCAAAAGCTTGAGCGCTTGTTTTTTTCGGTGACGTTAGGCTTGCGACTAGTCAAAGTTCATCCATCAAATGGTACGTTAGGGAACAGGGACTGGTGGATTTTCAGTGAAAAAAAAAAAAAAAAAAGGGTATATGTGTATTTTTTGACTGCGCAAAAACGGCTGTGTCTGTCATTTGAATAACAAAAAGCGAGGAAACATCAGAGCGGGTGCAACACAGACTGATTCCAACCACCAATGACATGATATTTGCAAGGTGTCGATTACTGCCTGCAGTCTACCACCTCCCCTCCCTCCAATTCTGTCTCTCACTCGTTCAGTGTTACTGCCATTAGTCATGGACTTGACACAAGGGTTTTACTTCAAAGGAATCCCTATAACCGTCTTACAGTCATAAAGGAGACAAGCCTTCAAAGTAACAAAATAAGCAATTTTCAACTACCAGGGACGCCTTCCAGTTAGCGGTGTTGTTCTCTTCATTTCTTGATTTTTTAAATCTTTTATTTATCCAATTTTATTTGAATTTATTTAACTTTTTATTCCTCAAGCACTTTAAATCCAAATGTTACTTTTAAGTACCCTCAGAAACCAGAGCTTTAATTATTTATGTCATTAGTAACAGCTGGTTTAAGGAAAAACAAAAGAGCAAGGGGAGTGCATTATGTAAGTTTCTTTGTTTTTGCTTTGGTTTTCGGCTCAGCTTTTTGTGTATGTGTTTTGATTGTTTGAATATGACGTTTCTCACTTGATTGCAAGGATATGGTCTGGAAGAAGGCACTGATCCGTGTGTATTTTATACACAGCTTACCAAACTGTTGAATTTAATTGCACTACTGGGTATTATTCTGTTCTGTGTTTTTTAATGATAAAATGTTGTGAGATTGAATTTTTCTGTGGCACTTGTGGCATGCCAGACAGGTCTCCTCATAATAATGGACTCCTCCAAAAAGAAAAGAGACACATTACAATCTAATGCTCCCAGGCTACTTCGATCCTTGTAATTGGTTCAGTTTATTTATAAATTAATATTCTGTTGAAGAAGACTTTTGAGGAGAAAATTCAAACCGTTGTTTGACCAAAACTCCTCAGCCCTGAATAAATTGGTGGAAGCTTGATTGTTAATTAAAGTTCTGACATGTCGGGTGCTTTCACCCTGCTCAAAGGTCAAGTTATTAATTAAAATCAGGGCTGTCTTTGAACAACATCAGCAAAAAGTACCCGTTGACTGTGTGCAAGAAAATGCAAAGTCAATGTAAATCAAAATGTCGACTTCTTTTGGGGTTAAATTAATGTTGGCTCTTGTCACTTTCTCTGTTGGAAATTGTATCTCTTTATTTTTTTATGACCAACATAGACCAGGTTCAGTTTATCATCCCACATAATCCTTTTTCCTCTGTTGATGAAGCAGCACTAAAGAAAAGGCAACATGGAAGCAATCAAACAACCCATTGGTGTGTAGTTTTGCCTATATACATAGTTCATACACGTTGATACTGCATGTTTATACAAAATACTGTACATAGGAGCATGTTTTAGAGACGAAGCAAAAATATCTCGTGTACGTAAATGGGTGTCATTTGTCATTTTAATAACACAAACGAAGGGGAAAAAAGATGCACTGTATATTTTCTAAATGAAACAAATGTGTATTTATTTTCCATGAGGGTCATTGGAGAGAATGTCATACAAACATTAGAGTAATATTACTAATAACAACCTTTCCACGCCTGAAATTGTTAAGCAAGTGTGTCGTCCAGTACTGTGTGTGAGTTTATGTAGGATGAAAATGTAGCCGCATGCTTGCTATATAATTCCTTGTGATCAAATTTTTTTATTTTGATACCATTTATTTGCCATACGTTCTGTTTCAGCACTTATCTGAAGACCAATGTGTGAATTATTTCTGGATTTTATTGCTATTGCTTTTTTTTTTTTTAATCAAAATATGTTCCAACTTTTTTAATGTTCAGGATGTGGCGGGGGTCTCCAAGTCTATACTGTAACTATTTTCTAATAACAGATTTGGCCTGATGTTATCTGAAATAACTCATTGGATGAAGGTTGAATAACTCTGCGATCTATAGGTGGATTGTAGGAGTTGTTATATGAAGTCTGTTGGATCATATCTTTATGTGTTTAAAGGGGCCAAAGGATGAATAATCCCATTCTTGTGAACACTGATGACTTGGAATCCCTTCTTCTCCTTTTTACTTTACTTGGAAGTTCTTAATTTCCCACTTCTGAAGTATTTAAATGACCTGAAACCCTTCACGGCTGTGTCTCTTTTACTGTGTTTATTATACAATACGTGTACCTGTATACAAGATAAATGAATAAGATATAAAACTAAAGCCATAAAACTCTAGCACTAACTCCTTAGAGCTCAGCTGAGTAGCTAGAGTTTATTTATGAAGAAAAAAAAAAAGCTGACGTCTTCATTTTCCTTGGCCAGTGTTTCTCTTTTACATTCCGTTCAGAGGTCTTTGTTCATCAAGAGGGCAAAAATCCACTTTTATGTAAATGTGAGCTTTGAGAGCAGTTGTGAGTTTAGTAGAGTGAGTGTGTCTTTTTCTACTTTCAGAGCTGTTGATGTCCTTGTTTCATAGAGGTAGCTGATTTTACAGTATCGTGATTAGTAACGTATATGCCTTGTTTTGATAGCATAAATATAATATCACAAATCTCAATAATACTGCTGAAATGATATGTATATACTTATATAAATATGAGAGCGTGTTCTTTTTCTTGGGCTGAGTGCAATTTATGAACCAAACCGGGTCACTCCTTAAGTTTCTCTTCGTCGGATTCAGTAGGCCTACCAGGAAGTACTAGTGACCACACGTACAATCAATAACACACTGATCTGTGATCTTTTGTTGGTTTGTTTAGCATTTTTGCTCAAGCAACAAAACAATATAGTTGGAGATCCAGTGATAGAAAAAGCAGAAAGAGAGAAACTTAAAACAGTGGCACCCAAATTGTAAGCCTGAATCCCTCCCATAGAACTATGCATAGTATTACGATTTAGACGCATAGCAGAAAGTGTGTAAAATATAGAGATTATGTCATGATACGGCACTAAAGGATAATCCAATTGTTGGTAAATATCTTTGAGAAGATCGATACCACTGTCATTCTAATGTGGTATCAATCTTCTTATTTAACTATTGGCAACATGTGTATAATTATTTCCTGAAATATTCCTTTAAGTTTACCTCAGTTGCTGATATTTCTCTGAAGTAAACGTTTAAACTGCCATCCGTCTAGTCTGGAAACGATCTCCAAGGTGTTGCACATGATCTAATGCAATATTATATTTACTCACTGTCCCATTACTGTTACTGACTGTGACCAAACGATGCACTGAGAACAATTCAAATACAAGATTTCAGTGTGTTTCTTAAAATACTGCCAGTACCTGGTCACAGTTGCCTGCATTTGTCTACACTGTTTGAATCTACTAAAGCGAAAACGATTCACACAAACAGAACACATGAGATGATGAGGCAAATGTGATCACAGGTGAAGTTATAGCACATTTAAGAGATTTATTTTATTTATTTTATTATACTGCCCGGGTCACAACGGTCATCTAAGTTCTATGGGGGACAGAGAGTGGGAGCTGTGTGTGTGAATATGTGAATTAAACAGATAAAGTGTAGGCCCTTTAGCAGAAATGGTGCAAAAACACAGCACTAAAATATATAAACACAATATACAGTACAGGTCTGCATGCAACGGACACATTACTCATTCCTAAATGTACATCTTTGTGTGTATGATCGTAATACTCAAACAATCTTAGTTTAATTTTAAATATGGGGGTTATTCTGTTCTGTGTAGATGTACAATACCTTATGCACAACTGCATCTGAAACTGTGAGCTGTTTCAGCCGTGCGGACAGTTTTCGAGCACCGTTCTCACAACTCTCTGTTTTTTGTTTGTTTTTGTTTTTTGAACAAACGCTGGGATTTAAAAAGGGAAAACATCCAAAGTTCAGTAGATCATTAACCTCCCCCTGTCTAAATGTGTTGAGAAGCCTCTCAGCGGGTACAGACGCCACTTTGAAACACGTTGTCTTGTCTCCTCTATTACTCGCTGTATTTCTTCTTTGTATTCTTGTGCATATGTGTAATCACTTCTTCTGTCCTTATTTGTTTCTGTGATGTATACTTCGAATGTAGAATGTAGGACTGTATTTGAATCAATGTCAGAATCACATTTGCTTTCTGTTTGTGTCTCTGTCCTGTTTATGTGTAAACCAGCTATGTACCATCAGTACGATGATGCTGACTAGGAAGCGGGCTTGTTGATTTCCTCCTTTCAATCTGCTCTTGCTGAGCGTAAAGAATGCCGGGCTTCATGTTTACAACATGGACATACCGTATACTGCCAAACATGCAGGACCGTACCAAACTCCCCCTCTTGAGCGCTTAGTCCTCCACCTCTCATCCCTGATGCAACGAATCTTCTTTTTTCACCTCTTTCTCTTCTTCATCATCTTTTAAAAGCGTGGGAGGACAGTCAGGTTGTGTCCTCTAGCTGTGTTTCTTCGTGTCTAGTGTCGTGGTGCGCGTGTTCATGTCAGTACTTGTGCCTACTGTGGATCGCATGCTTTAGCCCTTGACTGGACACAAACGTTGCTCACCAACTCCTCTTGACCCTTATGTGGACAAACGTTGGGGATCCTTATAAAGTTATCAAGGGAACCAAATAACTTATTACAAATTTATCATATGTGTTACCAGTTCTGTAAAAAAACAAATAGGAAATAAAGGCCTTTTAATTACCATGACTTGTTTGTGTTTTAATATGCAAAACGTTCAGCTCAGCCGGCTCCTAATAATGTGTATGCCTCTGATGCATAATACATGAATGTCACACTGAGACACACTCCTTTCCTTTAGTTTATTAAGCAAAGTGTATTATCATTGTGTATTAAGCATGGACACATTACACACATTTTAACAATATATACTGTATAGTTCAATATGCATTCTGTGTAGAAATAGCGGACCAATTAGTAGTTCTGAGTAAATGACCGGTGTGACAAAGATAGCCCTGGTGTTACAGCATCACATTGTTAAAGGAATTATTCAAACACCGGGGACTTTCGCTACTCATCCATTAAAGTGAAGTGAAGACGGATTCCTAAATTATTCATGGCACATCATCCATCACTTGTGCCAACACGAAAGGAATTTTAATGCAATAAGTCTGGCTGTTTCATACATTAAATATGATAACACACTGTTTTAGACCAGGGAGGACTTCCTGTTGGATGACAGTGAAGGCTCCATGACAAAGGGAGTAGCATCATGGTTGGAGACTTGTTAAGATTAAACAAAAGTTCAAATATTTTGTTGAACCCAAATACTGAGAATTAATCCAAACCATTTTTTTTGAAAGCACCAGTAAACATGGCCTCCAGAAGTGACCAGAACAAAAGAAGATTACCTTCATGAAGTAATGGTTTATTTCAAAGCTTTATTTTAAGATGTAGCCAGATGTACCAAATAAGTCAATGAACTCAGGCAGTTATTTATGTATCTCAATATCAACACACAACAAAGGATGATTGCAATCTGGACCGAATATAATTTAAAGTGCAGGCAACAGTTTATTCCTCAAAACGTTAGATTGTGCTTGATATTTATTTAGTTTTTGATCACACAATATTGTGAGGTTTAAAATGTCAGCAGTGATTTACATCGCAATTTTGACATTTGCATTTTCATCAACTAACAATAAGATGGGCAGGAAGTCAAAATTATAGATGTATTCCTTAAAAAAGTAAACAAATGATTGAAGATTAGAACTATGAAATGCATAAATAAATAAATATATCTCTATCACACGACATATAGGACACTTTTTTTCTCCACAAACACACACACTGTCTCATCTGAGTAGCCGTTCTGCTGATTTGAAGCTGAATCCTTTACACTTCTCACAAACATTTAAGAATTGGCGACTGAAACTGACAAAGAGAATCTGGCACAAACTGAATTATGTTATCATGGAAACTGACACTAGCTGGAGGATAAAGGAGTGTTGCTAGTGATGCCCACACACTGTCCACTCTGTAGAAAGTGCATTACACAAAGTAATCTGCATTGCATGGCTAACATACAAACCCCTTTGAATACCAAATACAGGGAACATTTTAGGGTGAACAATTATGTCATATTCAAAATAATAAGGATTTCTCTAACAAAAAAATGTATCTAACTAGTTCTAAATAGTTTTAAGGCGACAGAACTTTATAACACTGTAGTGGCATTGGTAGGTATTGTAAGCAGGCACTGCCAAGTGGAAACCCTGAGAGAGTTGACAATCAAGGCAATCACAAAGCAAATCATGCATCTCATTATATCTTTATCATAGAGTAAAAATGTTCAAAATATAATTTTTTTATAACATCACTAGTCTTATATAAAAGTGTATGCCAGAAGCCGGAACATTTAATTTTCAATGCATTCTTAGACCGGAGCAAACATGTTCTTGCCATTAGGAGAACTGCATCTAACAATCCTGTGATGGCGTCAATGATGGTTCGTACTTATAGTATGCCTTGTTGGATTCATATCAATATCTAGCTTTTGTTTCTGGAACTGGAGCACCTATTTGTTGCTTGGTTAGGCCTCATTTAACATGTGGTCATTTATTCTGATTTAAATTACAATGATTTTAAAATACAGTCTATGCCAATGCCAAAGTGGCCTTGGTTTCCTCTATCTTCTGTCATAATTAAAACAATATTAAAAAACGTTTCTGCAGTGCAGCAAGTAACGTGATGTTTCAATGTAATGTGTGGGTATAATATTGAAACAGTACTTTCATGCAAACCCCTGGATGTGTTTTATATGGTCCCTATTTAAATACTGTGAACTAATCGTGTAGATATATTTGTTGCAACTCCATCGTCACACACGGACTGAAACTCCATAACACTTCTCTTTGGATCTTCATAAGTCCCAACAGGAATTTATTTCGGCAGAGCAGAGGAGTCACAACTTGGGACATGGTGGATAATTAAACTGCCATATCGGGGTTGGAGCGTCCACAGACACATAACAGGAGCTTCAGACATCTTTTTATTTGGACAGTTTGCTGATGACTCGAATCAGAGCCCCGTTCTCATCCTTCAGCCTCTGGTTGTCTGACTTGAGCTCTGTTAACATCTAGGACAGCAGAAAATAGGAAATTATATTAGAACACAATATAATGATCACATATTCATATTTGTGAAATGGTTTGTTGATGGTTTCTCATTTAAAGCTTTGCACATTACCAGCACTGTTCACTCTAATGGTAAAATATCTTCAATGATAATTAACCACAACAGTTGAGGACATGCTCTAGAGTACTTAATCATGCAAGTGAGAAGTGACTTTGTCAATATGGTCTGCATGTGAAAAGTGAAAGAGAACAAAGTCAGAGAGAGAAACTGAGAGAGGGTCAATTTCCCCAAAACTAGGTCATGTCCCTCATGAGGAGCGATGACTAAAAATATCAACCTCTTTGCCAAAATATTTCCCCTCTACTCGAGACAAACAATAAACCTCTGCTCTTAAGCTGTGACACATTACCGAAAACTGGTGAATGAGGCCCTGCATCAATATGTTCCGTTTTTAGTCATTCTGATTAAAAAATAAAGTCCCATATAAATCTTATTACTATAGTAATGCCTCGCTCTGAATGTTTTAAAAGGAATAATTGAACATTTCTGGCTAAACAAACCAAGACACACCCAGTGCTTCCCCCACTGGTACAGGCCTTGCTCATTTGGAAAGTAATGATCTCACACATTTCATTTCCTTTGGTAGATTGACTAGGAATGACTATTTCCCTGGCAAACAACTTTGCATTGATTACACAGAACATTACACAGGGCCCACATTACATTTGACTGCAAGATCAATAACCGCAAAAAAAACGTGTTTACTTTATGTTGCACACCGCTGCCGTTGATGTCTAAATCAGATGATTACCAAAGAAAAAGAAAGCTCCTAATGCAGTATTCATGTCATGTGTGGATGTAGCTGAAAATACACTTCAAAGTGAGACAGGTTTTGGGGGTCAGGGGGTCAGAAGGGTTGCCCTCTGATAGCCATAAAGCAGATTGGGTTAAAAGAGAGCAGAGGGAGATGCATTGCAGTGTGGGGGGGGGGGGGGGGGGGGAGTGAGCATCGGGGAGGGAGGTGCAGGACCTGCCTGAGAGGAACACAGCAGAGGACGAGAAGGGGCTGTAGAGGCACCAGAAGGAGAGGGGAGTGTAGACGTTATGTGGCTGAGAAGGGGAGAGGAGGGGGAGAAAGGAGGACAGATGATGTCAGGGGATCAGAGGTCCTCTGTCTCCGGCATGGAGGCCGTCTCAGAGAGGCGGGCGAGGACGCGCAGCATTGCTTTATTCTCAGCCAGGAGACACTCGTTCACCCTCCGCAGGGTCTGGGCCTGAGCCAGAGGAGGGAACGCCTGCACAGAGGAGGAGAGAGATACAGAGGGGCTGACAGAGAAAGCATGCAGGGAGGCAGGCCGTGTGCAAAGAGAAAGACTCACACAGAGACAGATTCACTCACACAGGCACGCGCCCACACACTCACCCAGATAGGGGAAGAGAAATACAGAGCTGAGGGACTCGTCAGAAAAACTTATATTTACACAGGGAGATATTGAGAAGAAATAGCAAATGTTGCAACGAGCAAAGGAAAATATGAAGCCAGTTCTCCTTTGGGTTTGAGCTCATCAAACTTGGGCTGTAGAGTGGTGAGATGCTGAAGTGTTATGATATGCATAGCTTTGCAAAGGAAAGGGAATATAAATTCTATAAAAATTGCATAACCTACATTTCTACTATTTCAAACGTTTCGCAAGAGCCTGGTTATAAGTCAAGGGGGAAAAACGATGTATTCCCCCGTCCTCTCTACTCGGCCTACTTTTTGAGGTGAACCTCAATGTGGTTTGAAAGAAACATCTGTGGTTTGACGCAATTCCTGAGGGCAAACCACACACACACACACACACACACACACACACACACACACACACACACACACACACACACACACACACACAGAGACAGACAGAGACAGACAGACACACACACCCCCACATACACACACACACACACACACACACACACACACACACACACACACACACACACACACACACACACACACACACACACACACACACACACACACACACACACACACACACACACACACAGAGACAGACAGAGACAGACAGACACACACACCCCCACATACACACACACTGGGCTCTTGTTATGTTTCAGACTACCCAAACACAATTGTGTTGACCTGAATTGACCCATGATAAATGTACGGATGATATCCAGCTGCTTCTTACAAAACCAAAACATAATGTATTAAAGACATTTGGGATCATTCTTTCATTCATTCAGTTTTATTTAATCTGGAAAGATTATGGAGAGCAGGCTCCTATTTACAAGATTTACAGAATATTTAGCATGTGATAAAAACTAAACAAATACAGGAAAAGTCAACAGTAAAAGGCGCCCTTGGCAAAAGACAAGCGAAAGACAGAGTGAGGCAAGAATGCATAATGAATAGTATCCTGTATCACACTCTATTGAGCTCTGTGATGTTAAATTAGATCTGACCAAACTCTCACGTCCTGTAGATAATTCAACAGAGTTGCTATTAATTAGGTTTCAGAGGCTGTCGAGAATAATCTTTCTAATGAAATGTGAAACCCTGCAAGCGGACACGCAGACATGGATACTATTACAGAAGGGAAATTAAGTACAAAAATTGCTATAGATGTAAATCCCCTGAAATGACCTAAGTAAATAGTCATTATCCAACCCGTGCTTTCTACTAGAGATGAAGCTCATGTGTGCCATCTATAGCGAGGGAGTGTAATAGCTTTGGTATGTTGACGCTTCTGTCTCCTGCAGACTCACAACTGTCAATCTCTTATATTACACGCAAAACAGCAATAGTTGTAACACTCTCACACAATGGTGTAAGTGTTTACAGCTCTTACTAGAAAACAACACTAATATTTTTGCATCTAAAGGTGTTGCTTCTATTTTTCCTTTCCAAGTGACCTTGTGAGTGAGTGGCATTACATTCTATCTGAGCTTATCATGTGACGTATATATGTGGGTCCACACGTGTAAACATGCCTGAGTCTCTGAGACCATAATAATGTGAAGGTGACAGGCAGGTGTCAATCACTTGTCTGCGTTTTAGCAACCACTCACCATCCCCCTCCCCCTGAGACACCCTGCTCTCAGGGCTGGTACCCACAGCGGAACCGCATTGGGGGGTCCTGCTGAGGGAACCACGACAACACGGGGGTCACATATTTGCTGGTAACAACCACCCTGATGTATGTGTCCTATTTATACTGTCCAGGTCACTGTCTGCATAGTGTACGTTCTCAGACTAGTGCTAATGAGGAGTATAACAATGTTGCTGTAATTTGCCATAACAATGACATTATAATCGTAAAGTGTCATGTGTGACAAATAAGACCGCGTCTGCCCAGGCCTGAAATCTGCCCTGTATTTCTTTGATGAAGCAGGGTCCAAACAGTGCAGTGCAGGAATTCCTCACAAAAGCAGGTCTTTTGCTCTTGGACAGGGTTTTGGTATTCAGCTGGAACTAGGTCACAATGTTCACCCCAACTGTGGGATAAGTGGAGCAGAGGAGCAGCAGCCCAGACTCCTCCTCAGCCTGGCAGGAAGTGGCCTAGCAGAACACTGTGGGTAATGAGCCTGAAGCATTAACCTTCCCTCTCCTTGACTTCAATCCCACCTGGCTAACAACAACCCTGGAGTGTGCTAATATGTGTCTGGTTTTCTCTGAACACTTTAGGCGTGCTTGATTTAGCATGGGTAAGAGGGGCTTGGCTGGAGGTGTTCTTTCAAGCACTGTTAGTGTTATTATGGTGTCGGAGGGAAAAAACATCCGAGGTAAATTCACACAAAAGAGACAAAATATGCTGTTTAAATCCAGGGTGAGTATGCACAATTGATTTTCGCATGCACCGACCTTTATCTCATCCTCCATGTTTGACACTCTTTTCTCAAGAGCTTGTTTTTCCTGCAAATAAAAAAGGAAAAACTGAAATAAATATGATGAGTGAAACACAATGTTACGGTCTGAAGTAGTCAGGAAACATAGAGGGAAAAAAGCGAAGAAAGCATTTGGTCATCCATCTTTATAGTGCAGGAGCATGATCTTATAAAAAAAACAAAATGCCAAAAGGTTTGTAAAGCACTTACCCTTTTCTCAGATTCGACCGCTGTAGATCTCTCTGATATTCTGTCGTGCCTCTATAAAGTAAAATGATACTGTTATTTTTGAAGAACTGGAAGGATTATATTTATTTTGATCATGATTTCACTAAGTAATCAAACCCGCCTTATAGTTTCACACATCCATGAAAGAGGATAAGGGTGAAACATCGAAAGAGTTGACAGTTTTTTGTTTAGGTTTTTCTGTACCTGAGTGACTTTGTCCAGCTGGGAACGTATCTTCACCAGTTCCTGTTTGCTGTCCTGCAACCTGGACTTGAGTTTATCATTCTCATGCAATGCCTCTGCATACATCTGGAAGTGAACAAAATTAAGATTAAGGAAATGAAAGAAAGATGTTCAGATGTTCAGAGAAATGTTGGTTTTTCAATACCGTAAATTATTTTAAAAATATTCAATAACACATTAGTCATTATAACAACTAAATGTTATCAAGCAAACATATTTTCTTTTTTAAATGGTTTTGATATTTGTTTCGTTTTTGACAAAAAGGACAATTTATAATAAATATGGAAATAAGAGGTTACATACAATAAAAAAATATATACTTTTGTTCAATGGTATTTTTATTATTATTTTATTATTATTTTCAAATGTGCTACATTTTATGTTTATTTATTTAATAATTCAAGATGACACTTTTTTAGGCCATCTGCCTCTCTTCAAAGCATAATGTGGTCTAGGGGTTGTTTCCACACGGCTCTCATTTCTCCGTCGGCTAGTTGCTAACGGTTACAGCGCTAAACCGAAGACTGACCGTTAAGTTTTAACATCATTAGGTTAGGAAAGAACATAGATTTTAATTTTTGTTTTATTTATTTCATGTTTTTTGTTGATTTAAAAAAAAAAAATTGTTATTAGATCATAAGTTAAAGAGTTGGTATGATATGATGATTCATACTCATGTACAGTAGGTGGCGGTATGCACCTTTTAAGTTGTTGGCAACCACCGTACAGTTGAGCGAAGTGCAAAACTAGCCACACACAGGACTAGCATAATGTAAACAACGTACGGATTACAACGCTCACAAGGGTAAGCGACTTCCTTTTCTGCTCAGGTAAACATTGACCCACTATATATTTACACAGTATGTTGTTGACTGCTATATATTCATACTCTGAATGGCATACATTGAACATATAACATCATTAGAGTGAGCTTGCTGACCTGCCAGGCTGAATTGCGATCATTCTGTGCCATCAGTGCTAGCGTGTTAGCCTTGTTAGCTAGCTCATGTGTTGTAGACAAAACGTATATCTGTTGTTATGCTCCTCACAGAGTTGTGTGTCCCTCTCTGAAAAAAAATTCAGTATCAAAATGCTGCAGAGGTAAGCTTTGCCTTGTCTTTCCAAGTTATCTTGTCCATCTAAATGAGTTAATTGACATATTTTACTAAATGTGTTTGTGATTAAATTACTAAATTATGTATGCATATTGAACACTTCTGTGCAAAAAAAAGAATAAATGTGAAATCAGTCACTATAAATATCTTATTCAAAACTTGCTAATATTATCCTTTCTTTCAGGTATGTGTAAGTCCATCCATTTATTTTAACAAAATATCAATGTGTAATCCGATATACAAGACACTAATATGAATATTAGGCGCAGACTGAAAACTTTTTTTTAAAAAATGTTTTGGCTCTATGAAACCTGATGTACTTATATGATTCTGTTTTCTTCAAGTTTGTATCTTCTTGGTTGAATGCACTTATTGCAAGTCGCTTTGGATAAAAGCGTCAGCTAAATGCAATGTAATGTAATGAATAAAAAGCATCCTTCTTCTTAAAATCTTATTGTTAAATGTCAAATACTTTTTTTCAAGATTTGAAATATATGATACTGTCAACATCTGCTTCCCCTTATATTGGAATGTTCTTAAAATAGACAAATCTACCTGGTGATCCATCAGCTTTCTGTACCACATTAATCATTCAGAAAAGAAAGATTGTGCTTGTTTGAACTGAGGTAAGAGTTTACCTTCTTATAGTCTTTGGTAGTGGGGTCTTGCTCTGCTCTGTTCAGAGCAGCCAGCCTCGTCTCTCTCCGAGTGTAAGAGCTGGTTCGGCCCAATGGTTTGTCTGTTACACTCTCCCCACTGGAGTCGTATCTAAAAGTAACACAATCAGTCCACACTGCCACTTTATTTAGGGCATTTATTTCAGATTTCTCTCAGGAAATACAGTTTCATATTACAGGAGAATCAAAAACAAAGCCAAATTCTTACCGTGACAGTCGTTCATGCTGAAAAACAAAACAAAAACATGTTAGTGTGATCACTCAGCAGCTCAGCATGAAAGCAACACAGTGAAAAAAAAAGAAGTCTGTCATACAGATTTTTATATTATGATAAGACCAAACAGAGGCTAGGCAGTGCGATATTTTCCCTTTTGACACCACAGAGAACAAAAACAAAACTTCCAAGTGAATTATCCCAGCGTGTTCAGAGACCTGAAGTCCCACGGGGAAGAAATGTGTGCAGGAGGGAGATATAATTCACTTAAACACTGCACTGACAGGGTTCACGTGGGTCAAACCTCCCCGGTGAGCCTGGTTAATCTTTTAGAGCAGGCGGCTGCCACGCAAAAGCCTGCAGCATAAAGATGACATCATGACATCAGGAGCTAAGTATCCTGTGTGTGATGGGTCGATGCCTGACCTCAGACAGCAGACTGATAGCAGGCTGTCCTAGAAGGCCTTTGCTATGACTAGTCCAGTCTATGGCTGCCAAGTTGCCTTTTGTATTCACATACTGAATTTGTTTCCACTTCACCAAGGAATCCTGATATTGTGCTACGTTCAGAGGGGTTGTGTGTTTTTTGTTTTTTTTAGCTGGATTTCAATCAGGTCATTTTCCAGAATCGATAATACCTCAAAGTTGTGCATAAAATACATGTTCTGGTAGGTGTAATTTATGTCTACTGCCTCCCTGTGTTTATGCACGATATACGCTGTGTGCAAAGGGTTTCCAATCTCATAATTCACGTTTATTCAACCATTCAGCCAGGTTTATTCCTGCACTGAACAAATAGATAACTCACTGCCATCAGCTGATAAACGTGGCACATGAGAGGACCATGACTGAAAGTGTTTACTATCAGTTAGAGACAGGAACAAAGAGGGAGGTCGTAATGTGAGTCCAGACTGCACCATAATGTCTTCACAGTATTTAAGGCAGTCTAGTAGAATTTACTTTCAAATTAAGTTAAGGATTTGGAGTTGCTGCTGGCCAGGGAAAGAAGGCTTTAAACACCTCTGATTAGAAATAAAAACAGCAATAAACGACTTGTGTGGTGGTCCTGTTGGAAACAAAAAGCAGATGTAGACTGCATTAAAAGCTTCGGCTTTATGGGGGAATAATTAATGTCCAAAGGAACACAGTGCACAGTTACTACTGCGCTCACATTTAAAGAGTTGGGGGATTTTTCATGCTGCGTCGAAGGAGCTATTCCTCAGCAAGTGTTTACATAACTCAACCAGTGCTGCCTGTCCTTATGTGGTCATGAGCTTATGCAGAGCTATCCAGGAAAAAACAGACCTCTGTGACCTGAGATGAAAAAGGGCCGAAGATGGAGCCATAAAGAGCTCTGTCTCACTCTGTGTCTTTGTGCAAGGCTCAGAGGATGCCTCGATCAGATTTGGTGTACGTTCATTAATCAACAGGGTCGATTAGTCCCCTGGGTTTATGAATAAATCATCATGAAGTCTTCTTTTAGGGAAGTGAACTGTTACACAGACCTTCACCAAACTCTCTTTTGAGATTATGAGTTCCTGTACGCAAACCGATTTCACACGAGGGGATTATCAAATTGGTGAAATTAGATTTATTTCTTTACTTAATTCCACTTACATCTTAAGCAAGCCCGGTGGGATTTACAGGGCCTGATTCTTAGTGGAAGAGTAATACTTACAGTAATACATGCTGCTGAATCTTGAACCTTTTTGCCCAAATGTAACCGAAGCCAGAAACTGAATCATAGCTGCTTTTCTACTTCTGCTGCACAGATGTGATTCCCTTGTTAGGAGAAACAGAGGCAGAAGTGGCAGACTGTGTGTGGCAGAGCACATCAGCCGAGACAATCAACCAGGGGGGGTGGGGGGGAGAAAAACAACAGGGTGTCAGGCTGATGGAAACAGCACACAAACGGGTGCATGTTTGAACCACAGGCGCTCTGTAAACACAACTGCCTCCAGTTTTATGCTTTGCCAGGACCAACATCATTCACCCCAGGGGGGATTCGGAGCTATATACATGCAGACCCCCCCCCCCCGCCTGAGCTCACTGCTACAGTATATAAACCATATTGTTAACAGCAGCTCCCAGGAGCCAATAAAATCATCATTAGGGGACGCTTCCCCTCGTTCTGTCACAGCATCATTCCTTCAGAGATGACTGGATTTTGCAGTAGGAAAGTCTGAGGCAAACACACACACACACACACACACACACACACACACACACACACACACACACACACACACACACACACACACACACACACACACACACACACACTCTTGGTGGTGGGGGTTACACTGACTGAAACTGATGGAGCTGGAGACACTGTAGTACATATGCCAGGCCTGTAAGTGGCGCTGTAGTCTGCCACAAAAGCAGCGAAGAAGACTTCCCGCGCATGGTGTTTATTCTCCGCTGTGGCTTTTTTTCTCCCTCCCCGAGACAAGCGTTTGCTCCCGCTGCTTTAATTCAATGCAATCCCTCCGTCGAGGCAAGCACTGTAATGCTCTCCGGTTAGTCCACCAGCAGATGACAAACACCCACCTCTCCGCCTCTTCCAAGGAACGAAGGGACCGTGTGGCAGAGTTTCAGTTAGGTTTTCTTTCGCCGGTCAAGATGTCCGTTAAAGTTTAAATCTTCCGGACAAAATTAGAAAAGTGCCGGTCAAAGGTCTTTAAAACAAATGAATAACGACTCTATATAATAATAGGCTATAATAAAACACGCAGGACGGAGATCTATTTTTCTCCCCCTCTTCTGACTTGATCAGAGCGGCTCCCCTCTCCTGCAGGGGGGCGTGGTCAGCTGCAGCTCACAGAATCAGCCCCCTGCAAAAACAGGGCTGGAGAACAGCAAATAGAGCGAAATGAGGCATGGCTAAAATGCATGATCTGTTTGGTATTTTGAAAACAGAAACGTATAAATATACCTTATATAGGTATGGCCCTACAATATATCATTTAAATATAGCATGATAGGTCGACTTTAAGCTTGTAAATACATTTTTTTGTTTAAAATTATAATATGAACACATACAAGTATTGAAGCTAGTGGATACATTAAGTCCAATGTAAAGTTCCTCTTAAATGTAGTAGATTGCAAGTATAAAGTAGCATAAAAGGAAATACTCAAGTTAAGTACAATTATACTTAAGTAAGTACTGTATATGGGACATTTGGTTACTTTCCAACACTTTGACCAACTGCCAAATGATGAGTCATCCAATGATTTAAATGTGCACCTGATGACATGTCTTGCTTCTGCTCACAGCTGTGAAACATGTTGTATTTTACACAAGAGGACCAGGTTCTCATCAAAACATTGTTGTAAGTGCTAAAAATACTGCATCAACTTGAAGCCACCCCCCCCCCCTACCCATTGTATCACATTTTCTCTCCCATGAAAACTCAAACCAATTCAGATTCGTCTGACATCATGGAAAATGAACGCTTGAGTTTCACCATGGATACAGCACAGAGAAACTGACAGTCTCAAAAAAAAAAGACTTCAGATAAATGACACTGGTTGTGTTGGAATGAGAGCGTCTGTAGTGTTACATAACATTAGATGAGCTAATGTGTGCATCTCCAAAAGACAGATTCACTTCATATTTCTGTGTTTCTTCCTATCTCTTTAAATGTGGCTGTCACACAGAGTAGAGCTCAGTCCGCCGCACTGACATAAACATAAGAGTCAAACAACGCCCAGGAGAATAAGCCACTTAGGCCGTAGAAAAAAGGAACAGGAAATTACAGAAGGAACATTTCAATCCAAAAGTCCTTTCCAGAAAATGTGCTCAGACTCTCAGAGCAAATACTCGCCTGTCTTACACGAGTCATCAGATAAACTGAGATGAGTGGTTCAAAAGTATTTCATCATTGTAATAAACTGAGTGAAATGGGAGTGGCGGATTATTCATGCGAATGCACATCATCATGTAGAAAATCCTGCTTATGAAATGTTGAAGTATCTGCCGGTGTATCTGAACATGCTGCACATGTCTAAACACAAATACTTTCCAAGGTCTGCCATTATTTCATTATTTTCAATTATTATCAGTAATCTGCTGGTTTAGAAGTCATCGCTTTTCCCTAAAAATAGAATATTTAGCTTGGAAAAATGACAAACAATTCATAATTGATTGCAAATAACTGAACATTATTTTAAAACTTTAATCTGCCCAGGTTTTAGGTTTTACCCAGAGCTTTTGCTGTCTTGTGTTTACATTTCTTTAAGATTTATTCCCAGAAAACTTAACTAGTTTATGCATCGATCACTTAGAACCATATAAATATAAGCTGCAGTGTTAACACTTCTTAACATACTTCACTTGATAGTTGGTAAATAAACTAAGATATTTAAAATCAATATTTGTACAGCTCAATTGAAATAAATACACATACAGAAATGATAAATAAAACATATCTGTCTAAATTTGTGAAATAATTACATTTAAAAAAACGTAAAAGTTGTGTTTCTCTGTATGATGCATTTCTGGTCTTACTCTGTAGTTTTTGTCAGTAGCGGACGGAGAGGCCGGCGGTGAGTCTGTCACTGACTTCCTGGTGCGGGTCAGGTCCTTGGTGCGGGGGTAGTAGGTTGACATCCCCCCCCCTCTTCTCTGGAGCGGCGGCTCAACTTCTACTGTAACACTCAGCGAGGCCACCACAGACAACAGCTGCCGAGACGCACCGTTTCCCTCAAGCAACAGTGACGCAGATGCCCATGACAGCGCTCCCGGGGAATCCTCAGCAACGACAGGTGTGTGTGTGTGTCTGTATATAAGTGTGTGTGTGTCTCAGTCCAGATTCACACTCCTATGAGCTGGAGAGAGCTGCAGCTAAGTGTGTTTCAAATGTGTGCGCACGCCTTCCTCAAAGTGCAGCGATAATCAGATACAAATGCAAAGATCAACAAAGCAAATTAACTTATGTTGCTCACACAAACATGGAAATAACTCTTTAACTAGTAAAGCAAACAAATGATCCTCCCTAGTTTCCGCTCTGTCCACACTGAGGTATTTGGTGAAATGTGAAAAAGTCCAAATGGAAGCAGCCAAGAGAGAAAAGTTTGTTCCCTTTGCTGCCTCTTGCTATGTTCCCCAAAGTTATACACCCGCTCTCTCTCCATCTCCCTCCCTTGCTTTCTATCTATCCTTCCCCTTTCACTGCTTGGTCGCCCTCCCAGTCCCCCCCGCCCACCCTCTTCAGCTTTGGCAGTCTGCCAGAAGCTCTGCAATGGCTGGACTCGTCACTGAGGGCTAAAATTGTCCAGTGATGTGGACGGGGATAAGGGGGAACGTGGATCACAGAGCCTCAGTTGGAGGGGGAGCTGCAGCAGTCTGTGTACAGGGAGGTCAACCCCCCCCCGCCCCTCAACACACACACACACACACACACACACACACACACACACACACACACACACACACACACACACACACACACACACACACACACACACACACACACACACACACACACACACACACACACACACACACACACACTATTACCTGAGATAGCATCAACATCCTTGCAGTATCAAGTGACTCCTTACACCCCGCGGTGCGATGGAGCTGAGATGCCGTTAGTATGAATGTTATGCAGTGTTAACACCAAGCACTCGTGGCACATTTCCTCTTACCAAAATGTGTTTCATTTAAATTACATTTATGCCCTGTAGTATTTACAAGTCATTGGTGATTAAGTTCTACATCTGTAATGATTATGTTTTCATCCTGTGGCCCAATGTAGTTTGTAAAAATACCAAGACTTTGTTGTATCTTTTTTTTAAGAGTTCATCTAATTAAAGAAATTGTTTTACGCTAAGATAAGATGAACCTTCATTAAAAAATGCAGTTGTTTAAGAATAGATAATCCTCTTTCTTAATTAGAGTTAGATGACGAGATCTACAGCAGTGGTTCTCAACTGGTCAGGCCTCGGGACCCACTTTTTCCTTAGTCAATAGATTGCGACCCAACATTTTGAACCACTCAAATCTATTCAACAAAAAATCGTGCTGTAATATATACGCTTTTCAGCATACAAGATTAATTAAAGTGAAGTACAGTGCATATATCCCTTATATCCCTTCACAGAACAAAAGAATGCTTTAAAAAAGGTTTAATGAGATGATGGAATCAAAGCTGAACTGTGTAACATAAAAAGGCACACATGCTGAAAACCCAACCCCAGAAGGGGGGTCTCCCCCAGGAGATTTTTAGAAATACTAACATATAAACTACGGATTCTGGTACACTCTGAGAAGAACATAAATACATCTATTACTACCCGACATATTAATAATATTGTATGCCATTGTTTGTTTTTCACTTTGTTCTGATGCTGAACTTGCTGCTGAGAGAAGAGTAAAGAGGAGATTTAAATTGTGGGTAAGGGTGGATAGCTCCCATTGTTCTGTGACCTGTCAATCATCAAACCGGGGGTCATATTTCATTATGTGTTCATTTGTATCTGAAGTTGTACCCATGGATGTATAAAGAATAGTTCTACTGCAAAGTTATTCTCCGTGGGGACTTCCGGCAACAATCTTGATTCTGATTGGCCAGAAGACTCGAAAAAACCTCAGCAAAGATGTTTTATTGAGAAGATGATCACTACGTGACAGAAGTTTTAAAAACCGTTTATGGGGTGTTTCTCAATCGCGAGTAAAGCTGCTTCAGAGCCACTATTTCAAGCATACTACGTCATCGAGTGCCGCCGAAGTACTGTTCCAATCTCCAGTATACTTGGAAATCTACCGAGCCCGGCGTACTCCGTTTGGAGAAATATTGAGTCTGCACATGAGTAGACTTCGCGATCTTAAAATCCCCACAATGCTTTGCGCACGGACCAATTTCCCCAAATCTGTGGCGGAAGATGTAAGGCGGGGCCTCTCATATGACGCACACCTTCACACTTGCTAGCGTATTCCACACTTCGTTTTCCGAATGCCAGGAAGTATTCTTGACTCGCTTCTGAAGCAAGATGCTCGGCAGACATGTGCTACCAAGCAAGTGTACTCGCGATTGAGAAACACCCATGGTCTCCGGTACTTCCAGTCCAACGCCGAGTGCATGCACAGCGTTAGAAAATTGGGCCTTCAAAATAAAAGTTTGACTTTTTTCCCAAAAGAATAAATAAGGAATTTTCTTTTTAATTTTCTTTTTTTCTTCACTCACACATCTCGAAACGGGTCCGCGACCCACTTTTGGGTCGCGACCCACCAGTTGAGAACCACTGATCTACAGTATACCTCTCATTTTAGTACAATAAATACTGTATAAAGCTAATGCCAGCAGCTGATTAGCTTAGTTTCAGTTATTTTATTGTAAAAAAGGGAAGCGGGAGCAATGGTAGCATTTATTAGTCACATTATAAGTTTAACAGACAGGAAATAACATGTTGAATTGTGAGCTTTAAAGTTGCTGGAAGAAAGATATTATTTATTTTCAAACAGAGCAAGGTTAGCTGTTCCCCTCCGTTTCAAGTCTTTATGCTAAGCTAAGCTAACCAGCAGCTAGCGGTTACTTCATTTTTACCACAAAGACATGAGAGAGTTGTTCGGATCATCTTATGTAACTCTTGGCAAGAAAGTTAACAAGCGTATATCCCAAGATGTCAGACTGTTCCTTTAAACAACCCCCCCCCCCTTATTCTCTTCCCATAATCTTCAGCACAGGCCGGCTCATGCTATCTTCCTTTTATAGTGAGGTACGCATCACATCTCTGTTCCTAAACTCCCTCATACTTGCTCAGGGCAAAAAGATAAATGGAAAGATGAAAAACACAGGAGGAGAGAAAATAGAAAGATGGAGAGAATATGAAACGGAATGAAGGCGATAATAACCCTGATAAATCAAACAAAGACTGCCATGATGGGATGTGAACAACCATCCACACATGGCATTAACACAGAGGTGCTAATTAACCCTCAAGTACCCTTACTTACCTCCTAAGCTCTTCTGAAAAGGTTGTGTACAGCTTGTGTTCCTACATTATAAATGGTTGTGTCAATGTGACACGTGGGCTTTAGTGACGCATTGTTTTAAAACTGAATTGGCCACAATAACCATCTTGTATACAGTTTATCTCTTCTACCATCTGTACCGAATATGACTTGGTTGGAGTGAGCTACATTGGCACTGTTGTTGGTGAGTTTTTATTTAGTCAATCCCAGTATGATTGCACCCTTAGTTTCCTGGACTTTGGAGATAGTATTCTTGTGTAGTTCATGAACACAGGAAAACTTCACAAGAGTTACTTGAGTTTTGGAGTTACCAGCAAGAATCTTAAGTGGTACTGTAAAGTAGAATTGGCTGTAAAGATAGTCTTGGTAGTTCTATATCCTGTTAATTCCCCTTATCATAATCGCCACCATCTCCAAGAATCTAGCAGGCAGCAGAGCCTCTTCGCTCTACACCTGTCTATCTCTCTGTGGCTGGAAGTCCCCGTGGAAAATCTGCTCAGACCATCAAGGAGTCAGGCAGAGGTCGGCTGTGCTGATGGGCAGCCTGTCCTGCTGCCAGTGAAACCTCGCTGCTCGGTATGATTATCACAGACAGATATAGTCCTCTCCGTAACGCTATGAGACTCTCGTGTTACTAACAGATCTGTTTCAGATTCCACCATTGAGGAACAGCTGACCTGGAGTCAGCTCGCAGGCAAACTATATCCTCTCTAATCTATATCCTTATCATCCCTGTGTCCACTATCATTTCTGTTCCCTGTATCTTCTTTTTCAGACATACAGATTAGCAGTATATCCTCACTGAAAGTGGATCACACGCAGCCCTCAGGTGGAGGATCAGTTTAGAGGGTGAAAGAGACAAGAAATTCACTCTGAATCCAAGGCTAAGACTGAGCAGAGTGCGTCTCAGTTGGCCCAATATGGTATGGTATGCCGAGACACCTCAGCCATGTGATGTGAGAAAGCAAAGCGACTAAGAGAGAGAGGAGGAGGGGGTGGCTGGTCCTCCTGGACTGTCTTTCTAAGAGAGAGGAGGAGGGGGTGGTTGGTCCTCCTGGACTGTCTTTCTGTGAGATATTAAGCTGCGCTTCTAGTTAACAGAATCTCTGAACACATGCTTCACAGCTACGATTGCGGTGCATCTCAAAATATTGCATCAGAGAGAGGGATTGGCTGCCTTTGAAGCGTACTTAGCTTTGGGTGTAGGAAAGACAGGATGTGAATATGAAACAATGGCGCTAATGAATATCAAACCGTTAATATTGTGGGAAATACATCTCAGCTCTGAATTATTCAGATGCCTTTTTTATATACCATTTTGATGATATATTAAGTATGTCATCAGCCAAATAAAAGATCTTAAGGGATCTTAATGTATAAGAGTATTCTGTATAAAGTGAACTGTAAATATTCACCCTAGGCATGGAATAACAAAATAGGGACATGTTTTGGCTCCATCTAGTGGTACTAAAGAAAACCAACAGGAAACTACTCAACATCCAGCAACTGAGGGATCAATTGCTTTTCTTTTTCTTTCTATGATTTATAAGCATGCTTTTCCCCCACAAACCTCTGCAGTGTTGTATTCTGAACGCTCACAGAACTGTCGTTTCTGTTGCAGCGTTGCAGCAAAGGTCATCTCTGCTGCCTTTTCAACAGGGTTCTGATTTTCATCTCTCCACATCCTCTCACCCGCTGCAAATAGGATGTAAGTAAACACATTTATGAATCACTGCTGAAAACAAACAATGACACAACACTTATTGACAAATTCAACCTGAATGCTGGAGACCCAGGCCCTCTTTCTTAGCTAAAAGAAATAAACATAACATAATTGTTTCCCCTTGCCCTCTTATAAAATAAGATGCACTTTATTAATCCCAATTTGGGAAACATTTTTGTTGCAGCAGCATAAAACAAAACAAGGCATTGCACATAATAACAAATTAAAAGTCAAATCAAAAACTAGTTAAGTGATCACATGATTCAGTAGATTGCCCAATTTGTGAATTATATATTACGATCGTTGCCAATATCATGATTATATAGCAATAGGGACTGTGATATCCCAGAAAATGAGGAAATGAAGAGAAAGATATTTCAATTAAACCCACGCAAACATGCACACACTGACCTCTGAATGAGGTGTTGCTG